GAGCAAGATCAACGTTAATGCTTACCGCTTGGATCTTCCAGGTGAGTATAACATTTCACACACTTTCAACGTGGCTGACTTATCTTATTTTGATGCAGGTGAAGAAGTTTTGGGGTCAAAACCTTTAGAAGAGGGAGGGAATGATGTGGACATCGACCCTAAGACCTTACCGGAACTAATGCCATCAGTCCAAGACGGGGCCATGACACGCTCCAAGATTAAACAACTCAGAAATATATATAAGAGGGCTTTACACATCTTTATCAACTCACTAGAACCGGACGACCCGTTGTTGCCCGACCTGAATGTCATATACGGCTTAAATGAGCTTTGCGGCCAAACCGGGGCCGAATACTTGGGATCCAGGAATGACCACCATCAGACGACCGAGGCTCTCAGGCCAAAATGGTTATCTCTCGACCAATTTTTGATTTAAATGCTAACAGTCCGAGCAGAATTTCATTTTCAGGCTTAAAACTTGAAGAATTAAGGGACGATTCAAAAATAGCCGATACGCGAGAAATTTTGGCCGAGACGTGAGAGATTTTAGCCGAGAAATCAGTACCACCTTGGCCAGACCAAGTTGGCGACAAAATTTGTCGTACTGAAGCTGACATCGCTTGACCAAAATCACCAGCTGAATCCAACGGTCAGGACAGAAACAAGTTTTCCCGAGAGGATAACAAGATTGCCGAGACCATGCAAGATTTAGCCGGTAATTTAAAGACACCCGGGCTAGAACCACCAGACGACTTGGAAACCTCCAACAAAGGTAAGATCTCTCGCCCAAGTCCATATTCTGAAGCTAACGAACGTGGAATCTTGCCCCACCAACGAGCAGATTTGGAGCTGCTTCACAACTCACCACCCGGACCCGAGAAAGGCCAAGAAGACCAAGAAACTAGGACGGCGCATCAAAAAGCTTGGGGACTCGAAGACAAGGACTTAGCCATATTGGAAGAGCACTTATAAGACTTTACAAGAAGGTTCCAAGCCAGAGACGCCACAGCTTCAAGCTCGGCCACCACAGCCTCCCAAGCGGCCAATTGGAACCCTTCACACCAAGGTAAGCTTTTCAATTATTATATTGTCCTTGCAGGTGAACTCAGCCTCCACAACGACTAAGTATCACATCAAAACGGCATCAATAGTTTAGTTTCAAGAGTCTGTTGCAAACTTTCCATATTTGAGTTTAATGAAACGATGAGTTTATGTTTTAGGCGTCTAGGTTCATTTCTTGTAGTTTTACTTTAAACGTCTTGTTGTTTTGAGTCTTTCCATTTTTGTTTCGAGTCGAACCCTAGAAGGTTCAAGCTGACGGACTGTTTATAAATTCCCACATGCAGCTTTGTAGTCCGCAACCTTTTTCCCATTATCAATAAAAGAACGAACTTTCTTCAAAGTTTCTGAGAAGCGGCTTCTCATCTTGTTCATTGCTTTCTTGTGAGATTCAATCAAGCGTGAACCCCTGCACCGTATCAGAGAGTAACCTCCCTCTGTGTCGTGTATTCACTTCGCCAACACACCATCTCTTGATCCCACACGAGAGGGCGACCGCCTGCGTCAGATCACCATCCAACAATCATTCACCGAGCCAAAGAGAGGGCGACCGCCTGCTTTGCCTCTCCATCACCTTGTTATCCGTGAGAACCCCCTGGTTCTTACATCACCTAATATATCACACCCAAAAGCTTTAAGAAGACTACTCACTAGACATGCCTTAACCCAGAAAATCTATGAAGATGTGGATTAAAGACATGTTTAATGAGGATAAAAAGAAGAAAGATTAGATGAAACGAAGAACATAATTACATAAACTCTCAGAAATCTCTTACAAGCTCCTGTTTTTTTCCCAAAAAGGAAGTATTTTTCAAAGAGAAAACGAGATTAAACTCAGATATTAGGTTTTGTGTGTATATATATATATATATTATCTGGTCTAAACCGGGTCAACCTGAAACAAACCAGGTATATTGACCCGGTTGGGTCTGGATCTTGGTGTTTCACACCGGTCTCTTATGGCTTCGTGTAAGTGAGGGGTGTGGCCCTTTGATCGTTCAAGCTTCAGCACCGGTCTTTTTTGAGGTGTGTGGAGGAGGGGTGTTTTCCCGACTTTTGTAAAGTTGTACAATGGTCATGTGCACCGGTCTAGAATGTGTCCGGTGCTGGGCAACCTGTGACTTGGCTGCTCCGAGGGTGAAGCTCCACACCTGGCACTTTTGAGGGGTGTTAAAGCCCGATGTTTTCTCCGCTTTGGTGATGGTCTTCACCGGTCATATGCACTTGTCAAGAATGTGTCCGGTGCTAGGCTCCTTGTGACATGATCCTTCAACATCTCCTCTCCAATTCCAGACACTTTTGAGGGGTCTTAGTGATCGATTTTTTCCCTGCATTGCTTAACTCTCACACCGGCCAAGAATCCATGGACTATGGTTCCATGATATCCAAGTCTCCTATAAGCATTCAATATCACCTAATAACATTCCATAACATGCAAAGACTATCTTGGACTACTTCCTAGACTCAAAGAAAGCTAAAAAACTAAGAAGAAATAGCAAAATATGTGAATAAGAATTAAGAATTATCCTATATGAATGCTTATATGATGTAAAAAGTGAGTATATCATTAACCTTCCAAAAGTCGAGTTAAGAAGTCTAGTGAACTTTATCATTACTTGCTCGATTTAATACATGTTTTCATTCTAAAATAATCAACAAAAGCTGAGTCTGGTGGTTTGTAAAACTTAGTGTTTTGTGTTTAAGACGGGTTTTAAAGTTAAATCCTTAACAAATCATCCATCATATTGTTGCATGAGATTTTCCAATACCTAACATTTTCTTTATTTTTTAAGCTCGATTTTTATTGCTTGTTTACCTTAATAGCTAATCACCATCGATAATATATCTTTTATTTTGTTTTAGCTTGATTAAATTTCTAACATTTTCGTCGTGTAGTTGATAAGTCCATGTAGATTGGATCCCGTTCTATACTAATTGTGTTTGTTATGCACTTGCAGCCAAGTATTAGTTAGCTGAAAACTACCCACATCAATGCTCCCTTCATGAGGGCGAAGAAATAAGAAGACCCAAACTTGGCCGACCAACATGGCGGTAACCTCCTCGCCACACACGACCAATATGTTCTGCATCACTAGCTTTATTTTTGATCTGAACCAGTTTGTCATGGGTCGACCCGGTTCTTTTTAAGACCTAAGAAGCATTCTAATCTAGTATCATTCCTTATTTTCTCTCTAGTCTTTAGTCCTTAGTTGTTGTTGGATCTTGAATCACTTTCATGAATTAGTAAAGTTTCTTATTTTTAAGCTTTAATCTTTCTTTTCTTTTCATTATGTCTTTCTTTAATGAATATACAGTAGAAACTCTATAAATTAATAACATTGAAACTCTCATATTTTATGAAGTTATAGAGTTATTAATTATAAAAAGATTAATTGGGTCAAATCATAAATTTGGGACCAAAAAAATGTATTAACTAATCCAGCTTGAATATTAATTGTAGAGTTTTTAGTATATCACGTTTTCCTTAATCATGAGTGAGTAGTCACCTTATGGGCCTTTGAGCTAAGTAGATTAGGGTGATTAAGAGTTGGGCTAATGGTTTAAGCTTGTAGATTTACATATCCAAATGGTTGAAGAGTATTAACACTAAGTTTAGAAGTAGCTAATCTAGATCTAGCTTTGTGGACATTTTATGCATTAAAAGTGTTTGATGGAATGTCTAACTCAACCCCAACCATGCTTATTATATTTAGTCCAGTGAGAGCTGCATACCTAGAGTTACTTGTAGCTTAGATAAACTCTTGTTCTCAAGTCCACTAATCGCTAAGGCTGCTATCAAAGGACTGAATTAGCCAAATGATTAGTGGAGGGATTAGTGCTATGAGGATAGATTAGACCTTTTTAGTAAGTCTATGTTGTGAATCTTGCTTATTTGGAGTTGTTAACACGATTACTCATCCTTTAATCACCCAAATTCGATGAATTCAGCCCATATACCCATACTTCATTAATAAGTTTACTTCTTTATCATTTGCTTTTTTAGTTATTTTTGATAGCTTTAGATAATAATCTCTTCTAATCATCGATAGACCTAAGCGATTAGGTTTCTTGAATTCAATTTTTTTTTTAAGTCCTCCCTGTGAATTCGATTACTTACTACAATGTGATCTGAAAACTTGACCGACATCAGACCCCATCTTCACGTTATTTTGGGAGGCTCTTGTTTATTATCACTACAATCACTACATGATATTTTTCCATGTTTTTTCCACAATTGTACGGTACCATAGTTCACTTCCTGATAGCTCACATATTTTTAGATTGCTACAGCTTAAACATGTTTAATTTTACAGTTTTTTTTTTGGATCTATGAACAAAAAGATAAATGCAATTTAGTGACATAGGTAACCAAACCACTTTTTATAAGACTTTCGACATGCACCACCATATACCAAAATCAGGATGTTAACAATGATAGTAACAAATCTTAAGGAAAGACAAGAGATAGCTAGGTTTATAAGAATTGATTTTGCTATCTATGTTATCAAAATGCGTTTATCTTTTCAGTCAATTGTTTTGAATGAATTCACAGTTAAACGTGTTTAAGCTAGAAAAATTTTGGTTAAATTTGTAATAAGTCTGGTCGAATTTTAGAAAAAGAGTAATATCAATTTTTTATAAATTTTAGTTGATTTTATATACAATGTTTTAGTTTTTAATGCAAATGTTTGATAATTTTTTTATAATATCCTGATTTCTTTAGATTATTAATTAACGTAAACGTAGTAAAACAGAATATTGAAATTTTTTTTTTAATATACGTGAAAATAAAATTCTAGTAATTACTTATAGAAAAAGATTTTTTTTTTGGTTATGGATCATAAGAGTATGGGCCGAATGATTTGATGGATTATATGGGCCTTAAGGTCCATTCGAATACGAAGAATATCAGAATATCGAGGATGGTGGAGAACGTAGAACACGCAAATGGCGGCAGCAATGTCAGCGAATTGGGCGTTTCTTGCTGCAAGACGTGGACAACGACAATGGGGTTTGTCCTGTAGTCTGTCGTCTTCGAGACCGAACAGAAGAAAGCTTGTTCTATACTCGAAACCAGGTTGTTGTCTCTGCGATGGTCTTAAAGAGAAGCTTCAAGCTGCTTTCTCTCTTTCTGGTCCCGATTCACTCAACGACGTTATTCTTCAGGTCTCACAAAACGTTATCCCTAATTGTGCAATCTCACTACAAATTTGATGTCACAATATTTTCAGAAATTTTCAAGTCTTGAGGATGATTATCGCTATAGTAATATCTATGCTTAGGATTTATTTTGATTATGGTTAGATTTAGTGAATGTTATTTTCGTAAAAATTCATGGGATTGATGTGATTTTTCGTTTGGGCTATTATTAGGTTAGGGATATCACTACGAATCCCGAGTGGGAAAGGGCTTATCAGTATGGGATACCAGTCCTCGCTAAAGAGAATTCTGATGGTAAAGAGGTATGTATTGCTCTAGATTTGGTGCTTTTTGTTATGTAGAATTTGCAAGATTCATTAATTTCAAAAAAAATTTCTTTATGGCAGGAAATTTTGCCAAGGTTGTCTCCACGTTTAAGTGTGGAAATCATACAGAAGAAGCTAGTTGCTGCTTTTAGTTGATCAATTACGTGCACGACAACGAAAAAGTGAAGAAAACGTATGTAAGATTGTACTCTTTTACGCTCTCATCTGCAAGAAAGAGATTTTTAAAACCGTGTTTTTGCTTCATACTGCTTTTCTTTTTTCGATCTAATCAGTGGAAATGTTATTGCTTTATGAATTGGCTGATGCTGATTTTTCTTCTTACCATATCTATGCAAATGGTGCATTATGTGTTCTTTGACTAATCCATTAATTTGAATGACTCCAAGAGTGATTTGCTAGAATTGTCGCCATATTTTCCTTTTTGCCTTTCTCTGTATTGTTATTGTTTTAGCTTTTGGTTTTGATTGTTGCCAAAACTATGACCCCTACTTGGCACATAATTTGATCGGTTTCTTTATAGCCATTTATATCAATTTGTTTCTTTCTTCTTCTGTCGAAAAGTAAAAGTTTTGATGAACTTTTCTTTACGTTATGAAAGGTATTATTCTAGCAAATGTGATTGTGAGATGCGATTATGGTATTCTTTTGAATTTGAACATTTCTATTACTTTGACGGAACTGCGAGTTCTTGACTAATCGATATTGAATCTGTATATCTTTCCGCATAGTCTACTTTTTTAGTATAGATTGAGATTTGTCAAATAACACTTTTATTTTTCATCAACTTTCATGACTGACCAGGACGTTTTTTCCAATGCCATTCCCGATATAGGTGCTGCGATGCAACTTGTCGGTAACATCTTGGAACTCAGAATTCTATTCCATTATGTCAAAACTGAAAGCAAATTTGCTCATGTAAGCATTCACTATCTTGGATTAAAATATTTACTAGTTGCGCAATCATTTTCTACCTATATGTTTTTTTCTGTCGATCACTTGGGATTTATGATCAAATTATTTTCCGCTCTTCTTTACAAACACATTACTATATTAGAGAAAGCAATCAGGGGCGTTTACAGTGAGTGAAACAATGGTTAAACTTTTTTTTTTATTTTGAATTTTCTAGAGATCATGAAGGCCTCTGTCTAAATCCGAAAAGCAAAGAAACTAGGCATTCCATAAACTGGTCCCTGCGACATATTTTCTTCACTTGTCACAATCTTTGTAAATGTATCTACCTGATGAGTCTTTTACATATGATAAAAATTCTCTTATTAATCAGTAGTTGCATCTTTTGGTTGTATTATTGAGTTGAGAGCCATAGGACTATAATTTAGTGGAAAGAATCAGTCATGATCAAATACTCGGTCACGTCTTTAGTGCAAAATCTAATATTCGCTTGAAACAATACATCTTTTTGCTATAGTTGAACGAAAAGTTTGATAGTAGTGTCTTATCCTGAATTATTCATTCTTATTTTTTTTCTTATCATTTTCTTTAAATTATGGTTTATAGTCTTTATAGGGTGGGTGGTAAAGCAATTAGCTAGCTTTTGGTCATATCCTCGTGTACCTTACTTGGCTGAAATGATATGCATTTTCGCATAATTAGATTGTATGCGCTTCTAATTGTTATGCCATACATTTCTATTTTTGGTCACTGGCCATCGATAGAATAGAATAGTCTGATTATGTGCACGGCTGTCTATATCGGATATTGAGACAAGAAATATGGGGTAAAGATCGGGAATGTGTAATTCAGATATAGTAAGAAATATACCTAAAAGACGGGAAATTTTGGTAAATATCGAATTCAACAAATTTTTGGTAATTAAGCTTTCGCTTGTTGGATAATTTGTTTTGTTTCGTTTTCAAATTTTATTGCTGCTCGCTTCCAAATTTATCGTCGATGTGGATCCCTAATATGTATCAGTTTTCGACTCTTCAGGACTATTTGTTGCCTATTTTTACACTATACTCCACTGTGAAGTAAGCAATGGCTTGGTGAGAAGATAAAGCAAATGACATTCTATATAAAAGTAATTAATCGTTTTATGCCAAGTTTTCTCTCTGTTTCTTTTTTAACTTTGACTAAGAGCCCAAAATCATCTTTATTTCCTCCTATCGACGAGGAGAAAGTTCCCCATCTTTTGTTACTGTTTTAGAATTTTTTTGGTCACCCTTTATATATGTTAACCACTAATTATTTGATTTATTTTGTTTGGATTCTACATTAGGCTTTTTCTGTCTCTCTACTTTGATATATCAAATTCTAATGTGTGGACTCGCTTCTTCCCAAGTATTAATTTGGAGTGTGCATGTGCTTATCATGATTGGTTTGACCCTAACGTTTACAAGCACACCAACAAATTTCACTATGCAAACGCAAACAAAAAAAAAACAAATTTTAAAGTGATAATAATTAAATAAGAGTCCCAATACGATTGTTCAAATTGCTTTAAAAAGTTGTAAATAAAAAAAATGTTCTAGAAAGTTCTCCCTACGCCTGAAATCTTTTTTTGTTGTAGGCTGCCACGGAGTTATCTCGATCGGATAGATGCAAGGAGTTTTTCATTACAAAGGCAACAAAGTTTAACAAAAGACAACGTAGATCACATACGGCAAAGCTTTAATCGGATCGGGCGGTATAAGCAGAAGAAATTTATTTAGTGTGAGACGGAAAGAACAAGCGATGCAAAACAAATGTTGAATGTAGACAATAATTAGTACGGTTCATGTGAAATAGTCATCAAATAACTAGTGTTAGCTCGACTAAAAGTCTCAATTGCAAAGCCTGAGAAATTAAATTCAGATAAATTTACTAATTCATAAAATAAACCCCCATAATTGTTTTTTCAGTTTTTTCTTTTTAAGTGAACTGCAGTTGAACTGTCACATTAATTAAACCACAACTCTCTGAATTCATATTTTTTTTTTTTATGAATGGTGACAAAGCGTGGCTCAAGCATTATTCCTAAATTTTTTTTTTCTCCAAGCACTTTTAGATTTTGTTTAAGTGGGTCTCATTTCAAACTAACAATGTTTACATTTTTTGTTCATATTATTTTCTAAAGCATTTACTTTTTTTTTTTTTTTTTTTTCGACTTCTAAAGCATTTACTTAGGGGCTTAGAGTAGGATTATTCTCACGACAAAATTATTAAAATTTCAGCAAAAAGTTCTGCAGACTAAATTATATAGCACTTAAGCTAAATCTACAACCCAACCAATCATCCTATTAATAATTTTTTTTCTGATATTCGGATATAGTGGTGTCTGCTGGGCATAACAAATCGAAGCGGAAGACGGATCAAGGTAGCTTGCCTGCCAAGCCGATAGAGTGAGCAAAAAAACCGAACTGAACTGAACCAACCGAACCAACCAAACTTAAACTAAACTGAACTGATCCATTTTTAATATATAATTCGTTTGGTTGAAATTTTTTACAACCCGAACGGTTTGGTTCGGTTTGGTTTTAAACTAAACCAAACAAAAAAATTAATATAATTATTTTATTTAACTTCATAATATTAGTTTTTTGAAATATGGTGAAATGTGAAATTTCAACTAAACCAACATACCATTTCTTTTCTTTAAACTGATTTTTTAAAAACTGAACTAAAACTAAACCGAACTAAAAACCAAACCGAATTAAATCAAACTGAATTCAAATCGAACCAAACTTATTTCAATTAAGTTTGGTTAAAATTTTATTGAACACAAATTAATTAAACCAAACCGAATTCAAACCGAACCCGAAAATAAACCAAAAAGCCGATAAGCGAAAGGGCATGTTTTGGACCTTTTGGTAAATGGTTCGCAAAGATATCAAAAAATAAAACGAAATTTTTTTTCCTCCTAACGATTGTGGCTTTCGAAGTTTTAACTATATATGTTATGTTTTGAATTGTATGTGGTATTGTAGTTTTTTTTTCCTTTTTTTCCGTAACAAGGATTATGTGTTATGTAGTTCGTTTGAATTAATATTTTTATATATCATTAAATCTGTGTTGTTGATGATATGGATTATTCTTCTTTTAGACTTTGTTGATGATATATTATTGACTGCAGATAGTTGAACGTATTGTCAAATGACGATGTAGTAGATAAGGCTGACATGGAAAGTCCATATAATGCATGCTTAATATGCAGTAACCACTAACGTCGACACTTTGAAGTGCTCATTTCTTTATGTCAATGCGTGATTCTTTCTCTCCACATATGAATACGCAAAAGACATCGAAATTATAGATACATCTACTTTTCTATTTCATATGTCCGACTCCTACTTTTTTCTTCTCAATTTCTATGGTTCATATAAGTCTTGAACAACCAATCATCATGGTAGTCAGTGGTTGAAGATTTACTATGTTGAATTGAAAACCAGGTTCGAATCCTCCAACCACGATTGAATTCATGGCTTGCCACTTGTGAACGTGGGTATTAGTTTAGGTTTCGGCTTTGGATTCTCTTTGATATGGAAAAACAAAAAAACAAATAAGTCTTGAAGTTTTCCGTGGTTTATATAAGCATTAAAGTCTACAGACTTTAAAATTAGTATATGAATTTGAACTCAAACTTTACTTGGTTATAAGAAAATATTAATGTACATAAATTTTGGTTGTCGACCTTAATGCACCTAAACTGGTCGGGAATATAAACATAAACTTTCTTCACAGTATAAACGTTTTAAAGAGTTAGCAGTTTTTAGAGTTATGAAATCATATTTAGAATTCTTTTACTGCGATTTTATAATAGTTAACCATTATAAACGTTTCAAATGCTAAGAATACCTAATGTTTTTATAGATTTTGGAGATTAGTATGGATTTTGATTCTTATTTTAAAGAAAATACATTGAAGAGAAAATAATTTATTAATACAAAAGAAAGTAGTAGTAATGATAAAGTACTGTACCCATATCATTGTTGTTTTTTTTTCCTCAAATCTTAACCCACCCAAATCATAGTTATCATCAGCTCCGAGGGAGATTATTTTGAAGTTGGAATAAAATATAAAAAAATGTGAAAATTATGGAGTTTTTTTTTTGACAGCCTAAATGCCTAAAAATCAAATTATGGGGGTTTATGCTGATGAAAGGTGAGTATGATGAAGTATTCATACGTGGTTAAGAAATAGAAGATGCTAAGGAGATGGAACAAACACATGAAACTCCACTCTCAAATATTTGTGTTGAGCTTTCAAAATTTACAAATTTCATGCAACTGTAGGTACCCACCCTTTCTTCATTATTGAATACTGTGTCATCATTCACTTTCTATTTTCATATATATAAGAGCTAATCGACAAATTAACATTTTTTTTTACTTTGGCTACAAAATCAAAGTTATAACTACAATGACTGTTTCCATATGTCGAGAAGAAATTGCTCTATAGATCCAAGGCAAGAGATCGACTCCCTCAAATTTAGAATTATCTACTCACTTCCATTAGTCAATCAAAATTGTATGATGCTTTAGACGCATTAAAAAGTTTTGTGAACGGACTACTCGACCAGGCCCGTGTTTTCCACAAGGCTTATGAAGCATTAGCAAAATAAAAGTTGAAAGTCACACTTTCCTTTCTTTTCATTCTTTTGCCTTATTTTTTCTAGTAGCAATTTTCCTTTTTTTTTAGTTAAAGTTTTCAATTTTTAATTTGATAATTAGAAACTTGTTTAATATGACTATCTATTATAAGGCCTATATCATAAATGTATATCATAAATGTGTTTAAACAGGGTAATATTATTAAAAGTCTCATATCGATAAGATGTGGGCATAACTAAGTTTTTATAATACTATATATACTTCTCATTAATACTGAAATATGACACAACCATTTTTTTATTCATAATACGTTATCAGCGCGATAATCTTTAAATCTTTTTCCTACTCCAGAAAAAGTGAGATTTAGTTTAAAGTTTTTTTTTCGGAATGATAACTTATGTCTAAATTTTTTTTTGTTGAAAAAAAACCCCGTTTATACCTCTTTGGGCCTGCTTAGGATATACGTAAAAAACACATGTTTGAGAATTGAGAGTTTGATACGATTTACGACCATAGTTATATTGGTTTGGGTTTTAAAAGGCCACAATTTTTTTATGCTTTAAGCCACCAAAAAATTTGGACGGCACTATACTTGACCACTCATTCTAACAAAATTAGTTGGGTCGTAAAAATCCATATCACTCTGTAATTAACTATATATAAAAAATCAAATTTATGCAAAATATCACCACCCAATATTATTATGAAACATATAGTAAGCAGTAATAAAAACATAATACCCGTTCATTTTGGTTTGCCGCCTGGCTTGGTTCCTTGAAAACGCTCAGGTGACAACAACAATATAAATTTGCCGATCAACCTAACCTGAAAGAGCAACAGGAAGAAAGAGGGGTGAGTAATGAAGATCACTCAGTGAGAATGATCCTTAGAGACGCCCACAGTTCACCATCAGAATAACGTGAGATAACATGAGATAACAATATGAAAGGTTAATCCTAAAACAAGCTCAATCATTTCTCCACAAGAATATTTCCACTTTAAAACCTCGTGACAAGGCCTTTTTCCCTCGATTATGGGTAAGCAATTTTGTTTATAGGCCACCGATCTCGAAGTCGGCCCTAGTCACTGATTTTGGTTATGGGCCACCGATAACAAAGTTGGTATTAACCTAAACTCTAGCGTATCCATCATGCTATATATATTTTTCTCGATTTGCACGTTTTCTTACATACAATGTCCGTCTTCTAAGATCTAGCATTTTAAAAAAAAATTCACCCACATCTTTTTAAAAAATCGATATATACTATTATTTACGCATTTCCGTAATGAAAACCTACTATTTTTATAGTTCATACTTTGCTGATTGAATATTTCATCTCTTGCTTACAATAGACTCATCAGGTAAATA